GCAATTCATATATTTGGAGGCAGGCTTGTAGCCGCGGTTGAGGCGAGACTGCAGCTCGTGCTCCAGCTCGTTGAAGTGGCGGAGGTAGCAGCGGCCGTAGAGTGACCAGCAGCGTGCTCCCAGGGCCCCTGGTTCCCGCTTCAGCACCTCGGCATAGCTGAAGAAGGCATAGAGGATCTGCCAGATGAGGATGAGAGGGCACAGAAGGAAGTTGGCGATGCCAATCCACAAGATGCGGTTGCTGAGGCGCTGGGCCAACTCTAGCCGTTGCCCCCCACGTTTGTACTCAGCCTTGAGGCTCCATTCATTGAGAAACAGAGAGCCGGGTCCCCAGAAGAGGATCAGTTCAAAGTTGTACTTGAGGCCGCGGGTGAAGAAGACGGCCTCCCCGAGGCCAGGCAGGCGGAAGCGCAGAGGCAGGAGGGATTTGTTAACCAGTGCCACCATGTAGTTCTGGAAACGGAGGATGCGGTGGTAGATGTCCAGCTCTGTCAGCTCACGTTTGTGGATGCAGATCTGGTGCTCTTTCTGGGTCTGCACAATCCGGGCCTGCACTTCCTGCCATGTGCAGTATGGAAGGGCAGACTGCAGGGTGGGGTGGGGAAGAGACAAGGTACAGAAGGTAGGGTTGTTGCCTTGATCCCTTACCCTGCATTAGATATGATGCTCAGGGGTCATGTGCTTGGCTGAGTGGAGCCTTTAAGTAAATGCTCCCACCTTCCCTCCCAATGACAGATAAGGACACCTGCTGCCCAGGAATACACCCCATCCCTCTCAAGACCTCTTAGGCTGTGGTGCTAACTGCCCAGCATCCCAGTCTTACCATGGGGATGCGCAGAGCATGCAGGTAGAAGGAGTGGATCTCCCAATAGCAGCAAATATTATAGATGAACTTGATAAGCCGGTGGATCCAGAAGACCCCAGCGATAACCAGGATAGTGATAAGGGAGCCATTTTCCTGAATCCTGGTAGGGAAAAAGAAGGGGAGGAGGGGTGGTCCTTGAGGAAGGAGTCTTGGTAAACATGCTGCTATCCTGAAGGACTCTGTTACACTGAGCCTGAGTCTGTTTCTGGGGTAAGAGCTGCTGCCTCATACTCCACTCCATTCCCAGCTGCTAGCACTATAGGCTCCAGTGTCCTCTGACCTGCAGCCCTTACCTGGCACTACAGACTTGGGCAGGCAAAAAGGCGTCTGGCAGAGTGACCTTGACAGGCTCGGTAGGGTGAAGACTGTGGTTCACCATCTTGTTGGCAAATAGGATGTCGTAGTCCACACAGCTGACCAGGAAGGTGGTGAAGGCAACCACAAAGAGGAACTGCCTGCAGAGTTGGAAAATGGGGGTGCAGTCTGAGAGTCAGGAGCACCAGTGAAATAAAGTGGGAAAAGAGAAGAGTCTGGAAGCAGCAGAACAAGACTGGGGAAATGGAAGGGGCTGTAGAGTTCCCAGTGGGCTCTCTGTACCTCTCAGCTCCAAATCAGCTCCTATTTTTTGCTCTTAGCATCAGGTGCCACAGAATCAGTCTGCTTTCCTCACTTCATGGTAATCTCTGCCACCACCACCAGACTCTTTCAAAGGTTTCATGATTGTGGTCTCCTATATCCAGTCCCTGATTTCCTTCTGAGATAATAGCTAGAAGCCCTCTGGGTATTTGAACTCTCTTCTTTTTTTTTTAAAAAAGATGACCGGTGAGGGGATCTCAAACCTTGGCTTGGTGTTGTCAGCACCATGCTCAGCCAGTGAGCCAACTGGCCATCCATATATAGGATCCAAACCCATGGCCTTGGTGTTATCAGCACCACACTCTCCCAAGTGAGCCACGGGCCGGCCCTGAACTCTCTTCTTATTAAGGGAGAGCTTCCCAACCCCTTCCGGCTTCTCCCTCCTGGAAGGCTCGCTGCCCAGCAGCAGGCCTAAGGTGTAACCACGGCAGAGCAGAGGTGCTCAAGTAAGGGGCTGGCATCTCTGAGACTTCCTGACTAAACCATGCACATTTCATGGGAGCTCTGATGAAATGATCAAGGCCTGAGTTATTTTCATGGGAGAGATAGGACTTGGAAAGCTTTTCTTACATGGAAGGTGGAGGTTTAAGTTTTGGAGTCACACCCAGTCCCTGACAGTTTGTAGAGTTTTGAGCCTGGGGTTGAGTTGCATTGGCCAGGGGTGTGCACAAGGAAAGGAAAGACTGAGATGTATTCCTTTACCACATCACCCATCTCTTCTTATACTTACATGAGCTCAAAGATCTCTCCAATAAGCATACACGTAAAGCCATTCTTCTGGTGCAGATTATAAACGTGTAATTGTTAAAAGAAAGTGGTCAGTAAAGATAGCAGTTAAGAGCACAGACTTTGTTGTCGCACACCTGAGCTTAAGTCCTGGCTCTGTGACTTTCTAGCTGTGTGACTTTGGCCAGGTTACTTAACTTCTCTAAGCTTTTGTTCACAGTGGTAAATTAGGAATAATAACACCTGTCTCAGGATTATTAGGTCTGAGATAATGCATATAAAGTATTTAACACAGAGTTGACACAGAATGAATCAAAAGACATTAATTATTACGATTATTAACATCCCATCAAAAAGGAGGATCACCTTTAGAAAGGTTCCTTATAAATTAACACCACAAAGTGCACATAACTCTCAGTAAATGTAGAGTATCACTGTTTTTAACAATCATTATTTCACCATCCTCTTTCAGCCTCAGGATGACCTCTATTCCTCCTTCCAGGGATTACAGTCAAACTCACCCCAACTTCCCATTAGGGACCTTGCTTAGAGAGGGGCTAAAGGTCCCAGAGCTCCAACACAGAGAGACACAAAGGATATTCGAGAGAAGAAGAGGTCAAGGTTTTCGATGTGGTGCCAAGGTGCTGTGGGCACAGGAGCAGAAATGTCAGAGCCTTGAAGGAACAAAAGCCCCTCACTCCCTCAGTACACTTCCATCAACTGTCCCCCATGCCCCAGCTCTGCCTGTCACATTCAAGAACTCACACTTGCTTCCCTCAGCAACGTGCACCAACAGGTCCTCCTCCCCAGGGGGTGAATCGCTGTAGGAGGCCTCTAGGCGCTGGTATTCAGTGTCAAACTGCGCCATCACCACCGCCCCCTGTCCACCTTGCCCACCTGCCATTGGTAAGAAAGAAGAGACCTTGGTTCAGACCCAGGTGCTGCCCACCTGCTGCCCTGCCTACGAGGCTAGGAGTGAGAAAGAATCCTTGGGCTTTGTCTCCATTAACAGCCTCCTTGACTCAAAGGCAGAGAAGTAAGGAAATCAGTAAGCTCAGCTTAGGAGTCCTTAACTCTGGTCAGTCTTTCCCAGAGCCCTTACTGGATATCTACTGAGGTCCTCCTGGCCTGAAGCCAGAATCTGCCCCGGGGGCGGGGGGGACGGGACTGTTTCACCTACTAGTCAATGGAGAGAAGAGTCCCTCCCCTTGCCCCTCCTGGAAACCTTGGAATCCCATGCTTGAAAGCACCTTGTAAACAAAGGTTTGAGATAAGCACATGGCCCTACCAGCTCCATGGACAGTGTCTGCTCCACTCCAGCCCTCGAAGCCCTGGCTCTGCAGCTGCTGGAGGAGAAAGCGTCAGACTCCAGAGAGTGGGGAGGGGAGACAGAAAGGAACCCACCATCACCACCACCCACACCCGACTAAGAGGAGGCCAAACATGGGGCAGGGAGGCTGCAGTGGGAAAGAGGCACCCTTCCACCCGAGGGCTATGAGCACTTCCCCTAGCTATACTATACAGGGCCATTCGCCCAGGATCCCAAGAAGTAACTTACTGACCCTGCAGAGACTGAATCAGTACAAGCCTGAGGCCAGCTGACCCCTCTGGATGGTTTCTCCATTGCCCCACATCAGCCTCAGAAATTAGACATGCCTCTTAGGGTTCACAGAGCACCCAAAGAGTCTTTTCTGAAGAGGACCTTTCTGGTCAACCCCGTCCCCTGCTTCCTTAGCACCGAAGACTCAGCAGGCAGGCATAGCTTCTGGATGGGAAATGGTGACCGGGTCAGTATAGACCACTGATCCTGGGTAAATTAGGGGGTTCCCTATGTCCCTGGAGCTAGGCATGGTAGAGGTGGTACTCACCCAGTCAGTGCAGACCCTGGGGACCGTGGATCTTGGCCCAGCCTGGCCCCGGTGGGATTCCCTGGGTTAGTGAGAGCCCTGCCCCTCACGGAAGTTACCACTCACCAGGTCAGTATGGACCCAGGACCCATGGAGCCCAGGCCGGCCGGGCCTGGCCTCAGGGGTTCCTGCGGATGCTGGAGGGGTCGAGCCAGTCCTATAGCTGATACCCCGGGTGGGCTGGGTTGCCTCCCCACACCCAGCGGCCGCGACCCGAGCCCTGCGCGCCCCAGGGCCGCTCGGCCCCAGGCCAAGGGCTCGGCTCCCAACACCGGACGACCTCGCGCGCACCCTCGCTGCCCGCGCGCGCCCGCTATCAAAACATTCCGGCTGCGCGCCCCCACCCCGCCCGCGGTGTCCCTTCCCCCGTTACCCGCCGCGAGCTCACTTAGGGTTCCGCGCGCAGCCCTTGCCAGGTCTGGCCTGGGCCCTGTGATTCCAATTACTGGTCTCACGTTTCACCTCAGGAACCGGGGCCGGGGCGATTCCCGGGTCTCTATCGGCGCGGCGCGGCTCGGCTCGGTCCGACCCGGAGCGCTAGGCCGGGAGCCTGCCACTCACTGTCACCCGCAGGCAGCCTGGCCAATGAGCATAGGGAGTGGAGACAGGATGGCCATTTCTTGGCCCTGGGGGCGGGACTAAAGTCTCGAGGCGGGTCTTGGCGAGTCAGAAGACCAATCATACGCTCTACGTGGGGCGGGGCCCAGGTGCGGGTGCCGCTGTTTGTCCTCTTGGCTATTCCGTAGTGACGGGAGTGTTTTGGTGTTGCAGAAATCCGGCCTTCGAGCTGTGGACGTTGCGTGCTGCTCCGCTCCCGGGGCGTTTGGTGTACTTTCTGAGAGCGGGGGCGAGTTTACTGTGGACGTTGCGTGCTGCTCCGCTCCCGGGGCGTTTGGTGTACTTTCTGAGAGCGGGGGCGAGTTTACCTGGTTCAGTCATTGCCGGAGCTTGTTGCCTGGGTAACGAAGAGCTGTCGTTAGGCAGCCTTGGTGATTTCAACTCTTTTGGCCTTGATTTGGGAGCTGGATGCTCCCCCATTCCACAAATGGTCCGAAACTGGGGGTTTGAGAAAGCGATTGGGGTCACCAGAGCTGACTTCTGGTAGCACGTTGAGGGCTGAGTGCCTTGCGACGTGGGCGAGACCAATCGGGAAGGCAGTAGACACAGCAGTAGATCTCGTCCTGAAGAGCTGTTTCGTCCTTCCTTTCTACTCCAGGAGCTGCTTCTGAGTAATTTCTGCTCAATATGTCGCCGGCTCCAGCTTCACCTCCGGTTCCTGCGTCCGTCTCTCTGTTTGACCTCAGTGCAGATGCCCCGGTTCTTCAGGGCCTGAGCCTGGTGAGCCATGCTCCCAGGGAACTTCTGGCCCGGGCTCTGCGTACTTCCTGTCCAGGTATTCGGGAAGGTATGGGGTGGACCCCTGAGGAACGTGGTAGAGCTCTTAGAAGTTTATTGCTCCTCCAAGAACACATTCTTAGTGATATTTCCCAGCTTAGGAGCCCACGTTGATTTCTCTTTCTACTGGATAGAATATGTCTTAAATTCACTTAGTCTCTGGGTAGTTTCCAGCACAAGCCCCTGAGTCGTCTCCAAATAAGTCTTTTGACCTTGCTTATGTCTCATCACCTTACCACCACTGCCACAAAATCCCAAGATATGTTCATATATATATTTTAAGAGAGAGCAAGTGAGCAAGTGGCCCTGGTGCGCCCCCTCCCGCCTTCCCTCACATAGATGTATTTCAGAATTCCTAAATATATTCCAATTAACTGGACTCCAATCACATCATTCCTTTTTGCTGAGTATAAAACAATTTATTATTGGTTTTGTGCAACTTTAGTTTGTCTTTGGCTACGTGTTTTCTTGAACCTGTCTTTAAACAAACTGCATACTGTAGTTGAAAATATAAGTTTAAAAAATGGTATTTGCTAAGTGGTTTTTGTACAGTTAAAAATAATTTTACCTTGGGGGCCAGCCCGTGGCTCACTTGGTAGAGTGCGGTGCTGATAACACCAAGGCCATGGGTTCGGATCCCATATAGGGATGGCCGGTTCGCTCACTGGGTGAGCGTGGTGCTGACAACACCGACAACACCAAGTCAAGGGTTAAGATCCCCTTACCGGTCATCTTTTAAAAAATAAAAATAAAAATAAAAAAATAATTTTACCTTACAAGAAATTATTTCCTATAGGATTCCTATAAACAATCCTTTTGGCTAATTTAAATACAATATTTGATTTATACACAGCTTTTCAAGTTTTTTATTTATTTATCTTTGGTTCCTGGCTAGTATGGGGATCTGAACCCGTGATCTTAGTGTTATGTCTGTGCCAGAAGTATATTTATTGTATAAAGTGATTGCTGTACCATTTATTTCATGATTACTAGATTGTAAATTTTTCTTTTCTTTTTTTTTTAAAAGATGACCGGTAAGGGGATCTTAACCCTTGACTTGGTGTTGTCAGCACCACGCTCAGCCAGTGAGCGAACCGGCCATCCCTATATGGGATCCGAACCCGTGGCCTTGGTGTTATGAGCACCGCACTCTCCCGAGTGAGCCACGGGCCGGCCCCTAGATTGTAAATTTTTCAAAGACAAGGTCATGCCATCTCCTTCTTTCATATTCTCCTGTTGCTTTGCCTCCCATGGATTTGTCGCCCCTTTTCCCCTGGGTGACAGAGCCACCAATGATTACTCAAAGCCCATCTCTTGAGCAGTGAGAAGCCCCAGAAAGGGGTTAATCTCCCAGAACTTCCTCAAGCGTGAGGCATTTCTTCCATTTGGGAAATTAACCACGAATTGGGGTTCTCTTCCTGCATTTATTCTCCAGACCAAGAAGTTACAGGAAGAGACATTGGTGGGGTTTTGCTAAGTACAGTTTAACAAGTTTTACAATAGAAGCTGGTAACATTCAGTAAAAACAAGTCAGATATTCTGTTAGGCAATTAAGTGATCCACTAACAGACTTGATTTAGCAAACATTCCTTTTCCCTCCAGCAGCTTTTTAGTAACTTTACATATCAATTAGTAACTTGTCTGTCTTTGAGCCAGCAGCCTTGCTGTGTTATGATTCTTATTTTGCAACAGAGACTCAATAGCCTGGGGAAAATTTCCTGTCCTTTGCAAGGTCAATATTGAAACTGCAAGGCTTTGGAAAACCAGGCCCTGTGAAGTACATTTGCTTTATGAGTCCTCTACATTCTCCTCTGCTTTGTACGTCAGATATTGAATGTAATTCTAGGCACTGTGGTTTTGGTCTCCCTTTCTACCTCTAATTACCCTTCCCTTATTTGGTTCAGGGGAGAGAGCAAGTCCAGAAAAAAAACTACTCCAGGGTCCTCTGGATATTTCAGAGAAGTTGTTTTGTTCAACCTGTGACCAGACCTTCCAGAACCACCAGGAACAGGTAAAGGGCCAAGGTGCAGGGCTAGATGTTAGAAGCAAAAATATAATGGTGGGTGGGAAGAGGTAGACATTTTGTCTTAAATTAATAAAGGTCAATGCTTTGACTAAGGCAGTTGGTGTAACATGGTCATACTTCCTGGAGTTCTATTACTGGCCTTGGCTAGCATACAAGGCCAGGCTGGGGTTTATTTCTACCTTCTGCCTCTGTGTTTGCCTTTGTACCAGAGGGAACATTATAAGCTTGACTGGCATCGGTTTAACCTAAAGCAACGTCTCAAGGACAAGCCTCTTCTGTCTGCCATGGACTTTGAAAAGCAGAGCTCCACAGGTGATGACTGGTGGGAGACCTGTGCAGGAGTAGGATGTGGGGTGTGGGAGAAGGTCAAAGATGGGGTACCAAACTTGTGTATCTCATGTTGTCTGTCTTCAGGAGATCTTTCCAGCATCTCAGGATCAGAAGACTCAGACTCAGCTAGTGAGGAGGATTTGCAGACACTGGATAAGGAGAAAGCTGAATTTGAGAAGCCTAACCGACTCTGTGGCTTCTACCCCCATCGGGTTCTCTTCCAAAATGCCCAGGGCCAGTTTCTTTATGCCTACCGCTGTGTCCTAGGCCCTCACCAGGCAAGTAACAGCACAGGTTGTGTGCTCAACCCGTCTTTTGTACACTTAGCCTACATTTCCCCTTAAGCCAGTCCATTTCTCAATTCTTCCCTTTTCTCCTCTTGGGTGTAAGTATCACACTTGATTACACAGTCTTGGATAAAAACTGGCCTGAATCTTGGGTCAAATGTAGTGGAATTAAGTTTGGAAAAAGACCAGTCTAGATTTGAATTGTGTTTCTACCTTGACTATCTCTTCAAAGCTCAAATTTCCTTATTTGTAAAATGGAAACAAGTCTCAGGGTGATTGTATTAAATGAGATAATGTATATGAAGCACTTAGCACTGACACTTGGTTTCTTGCTTTCAATGAATGTAACAGAATGTTTCTGCTGCTTCTCTGTCATCTAGGTTTCCTCAGAAGAGGCAGAACTACTGGTGCAGAACCTGCAAAGTGGAGGTCCCAGATTCTGCGTGGTGCTCATGGCTGCAGCTGGGCACTTTGCTGGTGCCATTTTCCAAGGGTGAGGGGGTGCTGTGTGGGGTAAGGATGGAATGGATCCTGTTAGCATGGGAGCACCAACTGGTCTTTAGTACTGAGTTTGTGCTGTCTACAGAAGAGAAGTGGTGACACACAAAACCTTTCACCGCTACACAGTACGGGCCAAGCGGGGCACAGCCCAGGGGCTTCAGGATGCCCGAGGTGGGGCATCACACTCTGCTGGAGCCAGCTTGAGGCGCTACAATGAAGTCACACTATATAAGGTGAGTTAGGCCTCCCAAATCTAGTGACTCTCTAATGCACACTTTTTTTGCCTCTCAATTCAATTCAGTAAATGTTACAGTAGGGACATTTTTGACTTCTATATCCTTTCAATTTTCATTATTTCTGAGTAGATAATGGTAGAATAGGGATCCCCAGGAGCTTTATTTCTCTAATTTTTTCTTCCTCTATGTTATTTTCTACCTCCTACTCCCTGCACATGATCTGTGGGCCAGTTTTTGGTTGGAGATTTAAAAATGGCAAGTGAAAATAGGTAGGGCTGAGTTACTCTCTTCTCTAGGATGTTCGTGACCTGCTGGCAGGGCCAGTCTGGGCTAAGGCATTGGGGGAGGCTGAGACAGTACTGCTGCATGGGCCAGTTTTTGGTTGGAGATTTAAAAATGGCAAGTGAAAATAGGTAGGGCTGAGTTACTATCTTCTCTAGGATGTTCGTGACCTGCTGGCAGGGCCAGTCTGGGCTAAGGCATTGGGGGAGGCTGAGACAGTACTGCTGCATGCTCCCCGCTCTGGCCAGTCCTTGTTCTTTGGAGGCCATGGAGCACCCCTGCAAAGGAAGGATCCCCGACTTTGGGATATCCCCCTCACCACCCGCAGACCCACCTTCCAAGAGCTACAGCGTGTGCTCCACAAGCTGACCACCATGCATGTCTACGGTGAGCCTTTGATCCAGATCCCCAGACTACCTAGACCTACCTGTATTCTCCAGCCTAAGCCTCAGTTCTCATTTGTGCATCCAGAAGATTTTCTATTCCTTGAACTGCACTTCGATTGTATCTTCATTGAGAGAAACCTTCTCCACAGCTAAGTTTGAGAAATAGTTTTTGTTTCATGGCAGGAGAAGACCCTCGGGAGACAGTCAGATTGCACTTACCTCAGACACACTGGAAGACAGCGAGAGAAGAGAGGAAGAAGGCTACTGAGGAAGAAAAAAGAAAAGTCTCCAGTGATGAAAATGAGGCACTAGGGCAGAATGAGGAATCTTCCAAACAGGGTTTGAGTACCATCTGGCAATTGTCAACTCTGTCCAGTTGTCTGTCCTGGAAATGCAGTGGCAAATTCCCTATTCTTATAACCGACCCATTTTCCTATTTATAGATGGGCCCCTACACAACACCCACACACCCCCAGTGTCTGTTTACAAAATAGGGTATGTTGTAGCAATTACTGAGACATGTTTAGTGGCCTTTCCAAATATATTATCTGTTTTGTTCATGGGTGTATCCCCAGTACTTAGAAAAGTCTTAGCATTGTGTAGATAGTTGAACATGTTGCATGAATCTGACAGACTCTGTCTTACTGGACGCTGTGGTTTTGGCTAAGGGCTTCTTCCATGCTTTCTTCTGTTATGCACCATTCTGAGGTTGCTCATAGGGAGAGTCCAGGGACAAAAGTCCCTGAATATCTCCTTCTGGGCCTGTCCTTGTCTGGGCTGAGAGCCTCATTTCAGCATGTGATATAATTGATTCAGCTCTTGATGTGCTATTTTATCTTGGGTGACAAAATTAAAACACTTAACTTCATTTTGGAATGATCTGAATTATCTCTTTATAGACATTCTTATGCATCTGAGGCAGCTCACCTCCTTCCACCCTCTGCTTATTCCTTAGGTAGATCTCACATGTCAGATTTTTCCCTTGGTTCAGGGTCAGAGAGAGAGGATGGCTTCCAGGTAGAGCTGGAGCTAATGGAGTTGACACTGGGGATCACGGATCTTTGTGAGTCTGAAGTATTGCCCAAGCGGAGGAGGAGGAAAAGGAATAAGGAGACAAGGCGAGGCAAGGAGGCTGGGGCACATATGACTCTCTTCCACCAACCTTCAGAAGATGAACCCTGCTCACAGTCACTCCAGGCAGCTGCAGCCTCCTCGGGCCCATCACTGGATGAGGCCAAAGCCCCTGATCAGCCAGAGCTCTGGGATGTGCTTCTAGCTGCTTGCCGAGCTGGAGATGTTGGAATGCTGAAGCACCAGCTAGCTGCCAGCCCTGTAGACCCTGGAGTTTTGTCTCTGCTCAGTGCCCCCTTGGGCTTCAGTGGCTTTACTCTCCTGCATGCAGCAGCTGCAGCTGGAAGAGGCTCAGTGGTTCGTCTGCTGCTGGAGGCAGGTGCTGACCCCACTGTGCAGTAAGTAAGGGTCCCCATCCTAGCCATTTTTGGATATACAGAGGATAATTTGGAGGCTAAAGTTGGCATTGGCTACTTAACAGAATTACTCTTGTCTGGTTGGGTGATGCCGGTAAAGGTAGGTTAAGTTGAACCCATTTTTGGGGTTTTCACATCTAGGGACTTCCGGGCCCAGCCACCTTACACTGTTGCAGTTGACAAATCAACGCGCAATGAGTTCCGAAGGTTCATGGAGAAGAATCCAGATGCCTATGATTACAACAAGGCTCAGGTCAGCTGGAAAGGAAGGAGAAGAAGAGTGGGAAGGCATTGTACATCCTGGCTAGATTCTTTCTACTTCCTTGCAGTTTACCAAGGACAGCTTATATGGGTCTTACCTGATACCTTCTGGAAATCCTGCAGGTGCCAGGGCCACTAACACCAGAAATGGAGGCATGGCAAACTGCACAGAAAAGGGAGAAGAAGGCAGCCCGGCGGCAACGGGAGGCACAGCAGCGGAAGCAGCGGGAGCAGGAGGAGCAGGAGCAAGATGAACAGCGGCGATTTGCTGCCCTCAGTGACGGAGAGAAGGTGAGGCTATAGGGTCTCTCTTCCACAGCAGTGCTTCCTTAGAGGCCTAATCCCTTCTCCAGTGTGCAGCTGTCACTTCTTGGGTACCTTGTTTGCCACTGGGGCCTTGTCCTTATCACAACTTCTCCTTTCCTCAGAGAGCTCTGGCTGCAGAGCACCGAGTCATTGCCCAGTTGGGAGCCCCTATGCCTCCGACCCCTGACTCAGCAATCATCAATGCTCGGTATGAAGCAGGGGGTGAGTGAGTGGGTGGGCTATAATGTTGTAGGGACCATTTTGGGCAAGTGGAATGAGTGCCTATACAGTATTCAGAAGGGCTGTTGAGGGGATATGAGATGTTTTGGGAAGCTTTGGAGCAAAAACAGAAATGGCAGGAGGGATGGGGAGAGCTTGGATTGGAAAGTTTCTGGAGTACCTATCCAGTTATTTTTCTTTCTCTTGTTCAGACGCTGCTGGAGTTGTGGGGCATCCCTCCAAGGCCTCATTCCCTTTCACTACCTTGACTTCTCTTTCTGCTCCACATGCTGCCTCCAAGATCATCGCTGTCGGGCAGGGAGGTCCTCTTCCTGATCTCTTACAGCTCCACCTGGGGCCAACTCTAGGCCCTCAGAGGGCATATTCAGACCAGTCCTAGGTTTCTTCTTCCCCATGAAACCAGAGAATATTTGGAAGATTATGGTGAGGGCCACTCAGGAACCAGGACAAAAACAGGGCCACAGAGGTGTGGGGAACTGGTTCTGTCTTTGGAACTTTAATCGCAATAAAGTTTGGCAAGGGAACTGCACTTGTACTTACATCTAGAGCCATCTGGCCTTTGGTTCCTTATGGTCACCATGGCCAGCACCGAGGGATCCTGCCCACTCCATGTCCCAGGTTCAAGGGTTACCTTTCTTTCAGTGCCCACTTAACACCATTGGTTCAGGGGAATCGATATATGTCTTATGTATGCTGCTATTGAGGATAGGCTTATCCAAAAATTGGACTTCGGGCTGGGGAGGCACTTTTTCTAGCTCCAGCAATATGATTGTGTTGAGGATTCCGCTAGAAAACAGCAGGGGTCTTGGCACGTAGAGGGTCTGTTGTGGCCCTTGCTTTGTCCAGTACCGGCCCAAGTTAAACCCATTGATCCAGACTTGGCCCTGGGTTGGGGTTGGGGAATGAGGAGTGAGAGGGGAAAAGAAAAGGTCAGCTCTCTAGGAGGTACAATCATCCCACTTTGGGTTTCTAATCAGACAGAGCATTTCTGCTTCCCCTCCTTCCATTATTTTTCTCTTTTACCATCCACTCACACCCCCCCTACAACGCACATCACCCCCAGCCCCAACCACCACCACTAGTGATACCTTGGTCCATCCAGGTAGATACAGAAATGTGTCCCCGACTAAGCCTAAAATTGGAAATGTTGTGGAGTAGAAGGTGGGGCCAGAGGGAAATTGAGGTCGTGATGTTTTCGGCAACTGGAGGGGAAACCACCACTTTACAAAGTTATCAATTTTCAGAGGAAACATCATCCACTGCGTAAGGATTGTCTGTCCTAGAATTGGTGGCTCTAATACACCCTGTGGGAAGGTAAATGAAAAATCATCATTCACTAAGCTCTAAGGCCAAACTATCCCTAATCAAGAACTGGGATGTAACTAGGCAAAGTTAGCTTACCTTGAAGTCACTGCTGTTAGACCCAAAACTGAGCCTCCCCATGTTTTCCAGCAAGATATCCAATTTGGCTCCCAGTTTCCCCGTCAAAAGTAGTTTGTGTCTCATATTTCGTTCCAAAACACCCTGGAACACCTATGGATAAGAGAGAGGATCTATGAAAGGAAAGGCTCAGCATCTAGCTCTTGGGCACTACACAGGAAAACACATTAGGACACTTATTCAGAGGACAGAGAGAATGTAGCCATCTGTCAGTTACCTATCCATTCTGGAACTCTATCCTTAAACTCTTCCTCATCTTAGCTTATCCCTGGACCTTCTGCAAATGTAAGCAGGCAGGTGGAAAAGGGTAGGTATGGGGAACTCCAGGTTAAAGGGTGCTGGGGAGAGGAGGAAATTGGAGCTGACAAGTTAGCCTGGAATTAGGTTCTCACCCCATCCACCATCACATAGGCACGGTCATGGACTCCATCATTTGGCACCCAGAATGGTGTTGGCTCAAAAATGGTTTGGGTCAGATAGGTCCGGTACAACATAAAGCCATGGTCCTGGATATAGAAGAATAAGTACTTAAGGTGAACTAAGATAAGAAAGGACATTGTGGGAAAGATGGTTAGCTGGGAACTTTTGGCTACAGCCATTGAGGGACGCTGTCATCCCTACCAGATATGGGTTTATGCCTTACCTGCTTGACAGCCTCAAAGGTCATTGGCAAGATTGAACGGATGGGCCCTTGGGGGCATAGGAAGTCTAGGAAATCCAGCAAATCCCCATCCTATTAGAATAAATGGGAAGAATCAAAATAAGAGAGAAGTTTCTGGATAGGGGACAGGATAGGACAGGCCATTTTGAAAATCAGTGGGTAGAATCAGAGAAGAGATGGGGGAAGAACTTACCAGGTGCAGAGTCAAAGGTCCGAGCATCATCTTGAAGCTGGGAGGAGGTAAAGGTCCCAAGGGAACTTTCTGAAACTGAGCCCAAATTCTCTCAGGAGCCATAGGAAAGCCATAGAAACAACACCTATTCCAAGACCCTATAGCAGGGTTCTTAAAGTGGGCCCCAGGGAGGGGCTTCAGGGGTCATGAAGACCCTTTAATTTTGCACACACATGCGTATTTCTTCCCACATAGTCACATTTGGGGGAGTGGGAAATGCTTCCATGAGATACTCAGAGCTCTATGACCCAGACAATCACCAATTTATGGGATCCCTTTATAATTTGGGCACTCCCCCCAAATTAACAAAAGACTTTGGAGCTTAATAAACTGGTAGGGCACCTTGCTGATGACATTTCGAAGAGCAAAAAACTTAGGTGTGGGGTCCCCAGCTTCAGATATGGGTGCATCGTAGTCATAGCTGGTAGTGATCGGAAGGAAGCGTCCCTTCTCATCAGCACCTGGGGTTGAACCAACTTCATTAATTCAACATATCTTTTGGATGATAGGCGCTAAGCAAAAAGCTTCATGCAGAGAATTTTGCCATCAGTGGGGGCAGTGGGGGCCATATCTAGCTTCTAGACATCCTAATCCATCCAGCCATTAAATTCTAATTCCTTGTTACCTCCCTCCTGCTTCAGGGACCATCTGGACTCACCATTCCAGTATCCGAAGTTGGTACCTCCATGGAACATGTACCTGAAGGGGGGAGGGCCAGGGGAAAGGTAAAAGTTGACCCATTGAATCTTAATTTTCATCCCCAACTCCCAGTTACAGATTCATCTTGGCCCCAGTGTCTCCAGTTACATGTTCACACTGGCTCCCAACTTGAGCATATTCTCCAGTCCTTTGGTTACAGATAGGATAGACCGTGTGGAGTGATTCTGTCCCCAGTAATCCAACCAGCCTGTGTAGTACTCAGAGTTCACCTATAGTGTGAAGTGAAAGGATCTGTGAGTGAGATGGGAATGGAGCCTGACCCATTCCCATCCCTGACTTGCTTTGATTCCCTTCCCCTCTGGCCCCTCACCAATGGCCCATGGGGTTCATATTTCCGAAGCAGGGTAAAAATTTTGGTCATGTTGTCAGCTGCAGAAAGGAGGCAAAGGTAAAAGATAAATATCATAGAAGATGTGCCCCTTCCCTAGACTCCACTCCTAACCCTTGCTCAGGAGACCTGGGCCAAAGTCTACAGTGGTATAGAGTCCCTGGAGGGAGCCACATTTGAGTCCTTGAGGCCCGTCTGTGGTGAAGAGCAAGATCTTGTCTCCTAGTAGCACACGGAAGAGCCCAGCGAGGTGTCTCATGTAGCTGAAGTCACAAGCCTTGTAGCTACCATATTCATTCTCCACCTGCCAGGGGAAGGGAAAGTGGAGCCCAGCTAGGAAGTAGAGAAGGTCAAGGACTCTTACACCTGCTTCCCCTTGCCCAGTCAACTTCCCACTTGTACCTGAATGCTAATGATGTTGCCTCCATTGTGGTACAGCCATGGATATATCTTGGGCAGCAAAACTTTGAACCAGGAGTCCACTGCGGCAAGGAAGTCTGCAGGAAGGAGTAATGCTCTCCGTGTTAGGGGGCCACCACCACCTCTGCAGCCCCCACCCCTAGGTGGCATCCTTGCTGGCAACTTTAGTGCTGTCCATACTCTGAGCTGTAGTTTCCATCCCATTCACCCATGACTAAATTTGGGAAGGAGTGACTCTTGTAAGAAAAAACTGTCAAGGGCCGGCCCGTGGCTCACTTGGGAGAGTGTGGTGCTGATAACACCAAGGCCCTGGGTTCGGATCCCATATAGGGATGGCCAGTTAGCTCGCTGGCTGAGCGTGGTGCTGACAACACCAAGTCAAGGGTTAAGATCCCCTTACCAGTGATCTTTAAAAAAAAAAAAAGGTAAGAAAAATGTTAAACACATAGTATAGAACTATTATGTAATCAACTTATACCTTAAATTGCTATGAAGTGGCATAGGAATTTACAGAAATTTAGAATGTCTGACAGGCACCCAATGTATTGTTTAAGTTACCAATTGAAAGATCAATCATATTAGGTGTCATGCCTTAAATTCTCAATTTCTACTTGTGATTTTTGTGATTCACCCCCAGGGTCTTCATTACACGTTATTGCCTCTGCCTGACACTTTTTCTCCCACCCTCCTTTACTTAACCAACTCCAACTCATGCTTAATTCTTAACTTATGTTTCATTTCCTTAAGAAAACCCCTGATATCCCAGATTAGGATAGATCCTCCTGCTACACCCTGTTACACACTCGTATTATTTCATACTTCTCTTTCAGGTTCTTAACAAGTTATAATTGAGCATTTATTTCTGTAATTGGTTCTTATCAATTGCCCCCACTAGTGAGCAGGAACCTGTCTGTCAGGTTCATTGGCTGTATCCCTGTCATTGAGGACAAAGCTTAGCAGATAGCAGACTCTCAAAGGCAGATTCAATGAAAGATGTTTTGGAGGATGTTATTGTATTCATAAAAGAAAACACTTAATCCCTTTACATTTTATGTTCTATGTAAAGGAGTCCTATGTTTTACTGTCTCTTTTAATCAAGCATACATTGTCATATTCATTCACTCAATTTTTATGGGTGCTGACCATGCACCAAGCATTGTTCTAGGTGTCAGGGATATAGTAGGGAACAAAACAGGCAAAAATCTCTGCCCTTGTGTAATTTCCTTTCTAGTGAGAGGGGCAGACAAATAAATAAGGTGAAATATATATAGTGGGTTAGTGCCAAGGAGAAAAAACAAAGCAGGGAAGGAGGATATAAAATGGGAGTGGGGGGGACTGAAAATTTAGAGAGTGGTCAGAAAGGCCTCACTGAGATGATTTCTGCAGGAGGATGGAGGGAGTACCACATGCAAAGGCCTCAAAGATGAAGGCCTGGGGGGTTGAACAGCAGAGAGGTCAGTGTGGCTGGAGCAGAGTGAACAAGAGCAGGAAGAGCAGATGCCAGGGGGGTGACTGGGGCCGATTATGTAGGACCTAGTAGACCATTTTTTAGGAATCCATGGCTTATATTCTGGTCAGATGAGAACCTATTAGAGAGGTTTAAGCAGAGAAATGACATGATCTGGGATGTATATTTATTTAAACATATTTTAACAGGAACACAGTGACTGCTGTATTGAGAACAGACCATATGGGGGAGAGGGCAAACAAGGGAAACCAGTTAGAAAGCTATTAAAATAAGCCAGCTGAGAGAGGGGGTTTAAGCCAGGGTGGTAGCAGTGGGACTGATAAAAAGTAGTTAAATTTAGTGTTTTTGAGGGTAAAGCTGACAGGATTTTCTGATGGACTGGGTGTGGGGTGTCAAAGACAGATGTGAAGGATTATAGCACAGTGTTTAGCCTGCTCAGTCGGAAAATGGGGTTGCCAGTAACTGAGATGGGGAGACTGTAGGAATAGCTGGTTTGGGAAGCAAAGCCAGGAGCTTAGTTGTATCATTATGCCTTTTATATGTCCAAATGGAGAAGGCAAGTAGGCAGTTGGATATATATGTTTGGAAGTCAAAGAGAAAGGTCCTGGCTAGAGATACATATTTCAGGGTTATTAGCTATTAAATGGAATTTAAATTCCATTATGCAAATGGTGAGATCACCTAGGGAATAAAAATAGATAGAAAAGAGAAGTGTCCAAGGACTAAGTCCTAATACACTCCAGTGTTCAGCAGAAAGGAAAATGGAGAAGAACCAGTAAGAGACTGAAAAGGAGTGGTCAGAAAGATTGGGGGGCAGGGACAGGGACCAGATAAGTGAGACATAATGGAAGTAGAGAGAAGAGTGTATTTCAAAGGACAGAGTGACTAATGCTGAATGCTGCTGATTGGTCAAGGAGGACAAGGCCTGAGAGATCACCACAAATTTAGCAATGTAGAGGTCACTGGTTTTCTTGAACAAAACAGAAATTGCATATTGGTGTTCGATCAATACTTTATCATTTTAAATGTATTTCATAGTCACCCGAGTTTGGGAAATGCAATAAGGGGCATAAAGCTCTCCAGCACACTAAGAAGTGAAATAGCACCTGGAGAGTCCCCAACAGATACCCATATAAGGCATTTTACCAGAGTGATCTTTTCAAAAGGTATAAATCAGAGGAAATTGTTTCCTTGCTCTAATGACTTCCTATTTGCAACAAATGAAATCCAAACTCTGAAATATTGGGCTTCCTCAGAGTTTAATTTTGAGTTTTCATCTTTTTTTTAAAGATGACCGGTAAGGGGATCTTAACCCTTGACTTGGTGTTGTCAGCACCACGCTCTCCCAAGTGAGCTAACCAGCCATCCTTATATAGGGATCCGAACCCATGGCCTTGGTGTTATCAGCACCACACTCTCCGGAGAGAGCCACAGGCCGGCCCTGAGTTTTCATCTTTTTTTTAAAGATGACCGGTAAGGGGATCTTAACCCTTGACTTGGTGTTGTCAGCACCACGCTCTCCCATGTGAGCTAACCAGCCATCCTTATATAGGGATCCGAACCCATGGCCTTGGTGTTATCAGCACCACACTCTCCGGAGAGAGCCACAGGCCGGCCCTGAGTTTTCATCTTATCT